CCCCCCCCCCCCCCCTCTCTCTCGCTCTCTCTCGTCTTTGCTCTGGTGGAGGCTGGCCTTGCTTCATGTGTCAGTGGCCATCTGCAGGGCTGTGTAGGACTTCTACTCCCTGAAGGTTCCCCAACTCACCTCTCTACCCCACCATACCACCCCAATATACCTGGAATTCCCGTAATGACACACTCCTTTTGGGTTACAGCATAAAAAGCCCCTGGTAAGACTTCAAGTTTGTTTCCTGGGCTGGGATATTACATCTCCTGCATCAGTCATCCCCACTTCCATACGGAGTGGTTTCTCAATTTCTTAGTTCTGGAGGGCTCAGGACAGGAGCATTCTCCTGGGAAGTGGGAATGCCCAGAAATTACTTCAGGCATGGCATACTTCCCCAGAAGGAAATGAAAGTAGGTTCACGTGCAGTGATCAGGAAGCACCTGGAAGTGGACGATGTGGAATGAAGAGGTTGCCGAGTAGGTAGTTCGAAAGACACGCTCTGTTTATTTACTCTTAATATTTTCATGCGCCAGCCGGGGGTGAGTCACTAATGGATTTTGTTGTTTATAGATCCCTTCTGGTGAGTAAATTAAGTTCTCGGAGGGGAGGGGTGGTGGGGCAGGATAACGCTTCAGGACACTGGGAGAACTTGTAGTGTATGATAGGTACTTCCAGTGCCATCATGGATTTCATATGGCTGTGATAGCTATAGCTAGTATTAAGCTGGTGGGCGAGATTTAACACAGGAACCCGGCTCTCATTCTAAAGGTGGTAATTAAATACATAGAGGTTCCTGTATACTCCATGACCTCCTCCCCCCTCCACCTACTGAAAAGTGCTCGTGCAAGTCCCTTCATCACCTAATGCATCGCCAACAAAGACCAGCCCACCGAGTAATTAAATAACTAAAAAGAAAGACAAAAGGAGAAAGAAAGCTTGACTCTAGGATAATCTACGAATTGAATAATCCAACCTGGAATCATCCAGAGAAGACTAGGATTTTGTCCTTCCAGTGCCAAAATGGTGGTGGGGATGGGAGAGCTAATCAGGTCAGCAAGAGACATGCAATAGCAATTTGATTACAACCTCCAGTCCAAGTGCCTCTGATTGGCTAACAATGAGTCCCCCTAATTAGAGTCACGGGCCCAAAGCACTCAACACCCAACGCTTTCATCAGATGTGCTTACAGATGGCTTCTGCACATACTCAGAATTTTTCAGGGTGTCCTCAGCTTGTCTTTGTTGTTCCCGATTTGAGCGTTACACTTTAAGTGCACAGCTGAAGAGGGTGCTGATTACAAGACCAGCAAAGCAAGTTAAGTCACGGCTAACCAACCAAGGGAAACTTCTTTCAGTAGCGGGCTGAGGAAAGAAGAGGGTGGAGCAGAATGGGGAGTAAGAGGGGGCTGGTACCTTTATGCCTGGAAGCTGAAATCCAACAAGTTAGTCTATACTTTAAATGATCCATAGTTGAGGGATTTGCCCAAATTTTTTGTGTCTTCCAACCGTTCATTTGGCATAGCACACATATGACTAATCTGACATCTAGGTTTTGGCACTGGTGTTGATCCGGTATCAGCATTCCGCTTACAAACAAATCAAAGAGTGTTCAGAAATGTCAAGCCAATTTGGGTAGATCCTTTGGGCAAGTATATGCACGTAAATGAGTGTCATAAATGTTTTCTAAGTATACCTAATTGACGTCAGGGAAGCTAACCGAGGCCTTCTGTCAGCCCATTCCTTGGGTCTCTGTTGGCAACACTGAGCTAGCCCAACCATGATCCTGACCCAGCATCGAAAATCCTGTGTTCCCTTAAGCGTCCAGCAGATTTGTACCTCGTCACATTCTTCCTCTTTGTGAAGATCCACTTCTCATGCGGTGGTGGTGGATCCAGTGTAACTTTGGGGCCAGTGTTCTGTCATCACGCGGACTTAAAAGTCATATGCTTCTTTGTGATTTCGTGGCTGTTACAGGGGCAGCCTCAGCTGAGCCAGTGAAATATGGGTGGGATTTCTATCTCTGTAAGGATGTTCTTGTAGATTGTCCACTTTTGATGCTTGTGTGGTGCTATGAACAAAGAGATGCATAAATACAGAGGTTTGCTCCTAGTTTTGGAAAACCATGACAAATCTCTACTTGCTTCCTGATTCCAGAAGAACTTCCTGGCCAAACCTTTGACAGCAAAGGCTACTTTTGTGGAGAAGAAACCATGCCCGTGTATGAGTCTGTGTTCATGGAGGATGGGGAGACCACCAGAAAAATAGCACTGGAGACAGAGAGACCGCCTCAGGTAGAGGTCCACGTTTGGACCATTCGAAAGGGTGAGCCAGACGACATTAATTTCTTGTCAATATTTTTGTAAGGGGGACACAGGGAAGGAATGGAAGATTCACCTTCATTTTGCTTCAACCTGTTCCTCTGGGTCAGAAGATTTCCTGGTTGCTTAGAAACTAACATATGACTCCCACCATTGCTGTTGTGGCCTTTAGCTTTAACCAGGACCTGGGCTAAAAAGTAAGTATTGACTGTTGGGTTTTGTTGTCTTTCTCACACAACCAAGGCTGGAGGAGTGCTTCTTAACCCTGGCTGCCCATCAGAATCATCTGGGAAGGTTTTTAAATACCAAATCCCTGAGCCTACCTGCAGAGAGTCTGACTAATTGGCCAGGTGGGGCTTGGGCTTAAGGGTTTGTTCGGAAAGCTCCACAGGTGATTCTGATGTACAGCCAAACTGTAGTCTACCATTGTTGCCCAGAGGAAGCTCAACAAACATGAAAATGCAGTCATTCAGTGCACAGCTGAGTCTCTCGAACCATGCTGGGGACTCTGCAGTAAGACAAATTTAAAACATCATCCCTGCAGCTATTCAAACCATCCCATAGCTACGAGACTAGGGCTGATCTAGTCTGGTCAAGTTCTCTAGGAATCCGAGTGTAGAGGTGAGATTTCAGTTGGGAAATAACGCACATCCTTTTTCAATTGGCTCCCGCGTAAGGCTCGAGAGTGCTCGAACTTCAGTAAGTTTCAGCATCACACAAGGAGCTGGTTTAAAACACAGTTACCAGGACTTCCCTGGTGGCACAGTGGTTAAGAATCCGCCTGCCAATGCAGGGGACGTGGGTTCGATCCCTGGTCCGGGAGGATCCCACACGCCAAGGAGCAGCTAAGCCCGTGCGCCACAGCTACTGAGCCTGTGCTCTAGAGCCCGCTGTGCCACAACTACTGAAGCCCGCGCGCCTGGAGCCCATGCTCCGCAACAAGAGAAGCCACCACAATGAGAAGCCCGCGCACTGCAACAAAGAGTAGCCCCTGCTCACCGCAACTAGAGAAAGCCCGCGCACAGCAGTGAAGACCCAACGCAACCAAGATAAACAAATAAATAAATTTATTAAAAACAAACAAACAAACAAAAAAAAACAGTTACCTGGCCCCATCCAAGAAGTGTGAATTCAGTCAGCCTCCGGTAGGGTCTAAACATTTGTGTTTCTAACAAATAGCCAGGTGATGCTGATACAGGTGGCACTTGGACACATCCTTTGAGAAACAACTGCTCTAGTATTTTGTGGGCCTTTCTTCTCTCCCTTGTTTCTTTCTCAAAAGAACAAGTTCCTCTCTACCCCTTTAAAAATATGCTACAACACACATACAAGGCTCAGCCCTGTTTGTTTTTGCTCTAGACCCAGGAATGTTGATTTGCCATCTCTAACTCCCTAGCTCCTCTGTAACTGGTCACCAGGACTAAGCACTGTTCTCTTGGCTTCCCTAGCGGTGACCTCACTACGCATTCATTGCCCCACATCTCTTGCCTCACAGAAATGCATGGATGCTTTTCAACTTGTTAGTGTCGCCTCTAAATAAGCTCTTGTTCACAGCACTGGGTAATCAAGATCTGTGCATAGTGGACAGAGGAAAACCCAGGCTCCATGTCCGTTGCTCCCTGTAGACCTCTTGAGGATTATTTAAGTGGCAGTTTTCAGTTGTTCACGTGTTATTCTGATAAAAGCTATTCAGGCAAGGTTGAGACTGTGGGAGCCCCCTTATTTTCACTCTGCCCATTTTTATAAGGGAAAGTGAAAGGAGCTGTGACTGTTTCCCAAAGGAAAATATGCTTTCTGGTGAGTTCAGGAATAAGGATGGCTTCTCCATTTACACAAACAACCTGTCTGTGAGACCCACCGCTGGTTCTCGCTGCCGAGCCAGGAGGGTAGCCCGGTGGCTTGGCAGGGACATAGTCTACCCAGACCAGGGGCAAGGGCAGAATGTTTAATACTGCCTTTGGCTGCAGAAACTCCGTCCAGCATCCATGCTTGATTCTCTGTGGCTTTCCCCAGGAGCGGGTCCCACGGTCAGCAGCTCTGTCTCCCTTATCTCTGTCCTCTGGAGAACCTGGGGGGAGGTCAGTGAGCCAAGGAAACAAGTGGAGTCAATTATAACCCTCGAGCCGTCCAAGTTTCTGGTTAAGCACATTACACAGCCCCGCTCGAGACTCCTAAGCCCCAGTAGTGAGATGATATGCTCAGCCCAAGCAGAAAAAGGGGATGGTGGTTCCAGATAGAGAGCGCCTGACCACCTGCCCCACTTTGTGCTTGGCCCCAGGCATCCTCCAGCACTTCCATATTGAGAAGATCTCCAAGAGGATGTTTGAGGAGCTCCATCACTTCAAGCTGGTGACCAGGACAACCCTGAGTAAGTCGTGACTCTCTTTACTCCTCCCTGGAAAACATCCAGTTTTCAATGTCACATAGCCCCAAATAAAGTACCCACCGTGCTCTCACTGAACAGGAGCAATGGTCCATGTCAGCATTAGAGGATATTCTCTTCCTCCTGTGGGTGACTAAACCCAGAGTCTCAAGAGGGTGGGAGGTCTGGTCTATCTGTGGAGACTTCACATCTGGAAGGCTATGTCCTCAGTGGTGGGGATGACAGAGAAAGAGAGAAGATGACTGCATATCGATTCTTGTGTTGTATCAAAGCTCTGTTTGACTGTTTGGAACTGCCCCGTTTGGTCGTGTTTCTTTAAAAGCACTCAGACACTCAAGCATACTTGCGGCTCTCCCACTTTCTACGCTAGATGGAGCCTGGGACTAGATCCTGCTAGGCACTGCGTGGGGAGGGGCGTGGGGGGGTGGTGGTGGTAAGCACTTCTGAAGGAATAAAAGGCACAGAATTTCTATCCACAGGGAATTCGAATGGGCGAGACAGAACATGAAAATGCCTTCATTATGAATTAGTATACTTCTGAAGAGTTAAATACCTAAGTGCTCAGGGGAATCTGCAAAGAACAATGAGATGAGAGCCAGGTGGGCTTAGTCGGGGAAGGCTTCAGGGAGGAGGTGGGTTTTGAAAGAGAAGGGTGTGACTGGGCAACAGGTCAGGAAATCAGTCTAGGGAGAAGGTGCAGCCTAAGAGAAGACCCGACAGGAGCAAACAAGAAACGTGGAGGTGGGTGGGTGGGTGGGTGTGGGTGAGGAAGAATTACAAAGGCCACATAGGGTGCACAGAAAGCTGAGAGAGTTGGAGGTAGGAGGTAGGTAGAGGGCCTGGAAGGAGCATGGGTGCTTGCTGCAAACTTACACACAGTGTAGTGGTGTCAAAATGGGGCTTTGGTAAGATGTCTCTCGGCTGTCAGATGCATTTATTAAGCACCTACTTTGAGAAGCCGTATTCCAAAGAGCCCAGTATGCCATGCTGAGAAGTTGAACTTGGTCTCCAGACCAGAGGACCCCAGTGGGGGGTTTTAAGCAAGTGAACGATGCATTCAGATCTGTTTTTTAGAAAGTGGTGCTTGCTGAATGGAGTGGCAGGTGGGCTTTTAGTGAGAGAGCTGGTGATAGTCTGTAGGAAGCTGTTAGACTGTATTAAGTCGGTTAGGCGGGGGAGGAGGGGTCCCTGTGAGGGGCTGAGGTTAAACCATCAAGATCAGGATCAAAGAGAGAAACGAGTTTAGAATGACTCCAATATTAACAACTTTATGGACTGGGTGAATAGTAATACCATTCACCAGTGGGAAACTCTGGAGAATGAGCAGGCATTGGTGGCAAAAATGAGTTTTACTTGGAACACGTTTAGATTAAGATGCTTGAAGTCCATATGAGCAGCATTATCCAATAGGCAGCTGGACATAGGGTCGATGAGGTCAATTGTTCATTCTGCAGGAGACAGGTAGACAACTGGACAGTAGGAGAATTCAGATGGAGGACCTGGGAGTTCTTGTAAGGAATAAAGAGGCAGAGTCTATAGGATCAATAATGTGACTTTTGAAATTACCAATTAATTTCAAAGAACATATATTTGTTCATACTGTGGGCCAGGCACTGATGATTTAAACAAAGTCTTCCCGTCACAGTTAGGATTTAGGGCGCATAATGGAGGTCGATGATGTGTGCCTCTGAAGGACGTAGGTAATGGAGATGATCCCGCAGGGTCACCTGGGGACAGAGCAGAGCAAGCCTGACTCCTGTATGTAGTGTGCCTGTCAGATCCTGGCACACCGTAGGGCTTTGGTAGAAGCTGCTTCCTTGCCCGACCCATCTCTCATTTCCCATTGAATCCGAGGGAGTAGGGAAAAGTGAAGAATCCAAGGGAGAAAGGAGCAGAGAAATGGAGGCTGTAAGGAAGTGGGGCATGGTCTCCTGTGGCGAGAGAAAGAAAAGAGGTTCAACAACGGTTCTGGATTAAGAGGTGCTTGCCGACCTTGGACTCGCGGAATTCTCCAGGTTGCAACACCATGAGCACAGGATTGAAAAGGCTGAAGAGGGCATCCAGGGTAGACATTTTGTTAGGAACGCTATTCGACAGAGCAAGATGATAGCAGGGGAAGGATGATCTTACCACTGAGGGACCAGGAAAGTTAAAAAGGGATGGTCCAGAGACATTGGGTGGTTTCCAGTGCTCAGCACGGGTGTGCAGTCAAAACCGTTTGCTCAGTTAGCATGGCAGGAGGGGGAATAGAGAAGTTGGTGAGGACACGCTGGACGTATGGACAGTTCCAGGGGGCGGGGGAAGAGACAACAGGGGGTGGAGGGGGACAGGAGCAGGGATGACAAGGAACGGAAGGGATGCGGCCGTGTTCACCCAGAGCAGAGAGGGATCACGTGGCGGATGTGAGGCTGGAACTCTCTGCAGAGCCATAGGAGGCTGGAAGGGCTGCTAAAGTTGGTGTGAGGCCAGCGTGTGGGCATAAGACAAAGCAGAGGGGAGCAGTTTTTAAACAAAGGGCGGCAGGAATAGAGAAAAGAGCAGCAAATAATCAAGCAACCCAAACTAATATTCGGGTCTCAAAGAGTAAGCAAAGCCCCAGTAATGCACCAAGTACTGGTCTCCAAAGTGCCTTATTTGACCTGCTGCCAAGTGAGCCACCTAATAGCTAACGACCTGATAGCGGAGCAATTCGCAAATGCTAAGTAGAAAAAATCCCAAGAACAATACTGGGTTGGCGAAAAAGTTTGTTCGGGGTTTTCTGTGACATCTTACGAAAACCCGAACAAACTTTTTCGCCAACCCAATAGTGAGGTTTTACTCCTGAGGAGGCAGTTCTGTATTAATCTTGGGGTTCTTACAAATGCTGGGTGTTGAAATGAAGACTCCGTGGCCCATTTTCTGTACCTGTCCCCAGAAAAGTGTTTCGGGGGCTATTTTGCTGAAATCACGTGATGCTCATCTTCCAGCTCCCCTGGCAGGTCCGTGAGTGCGTGGGGAAGGGTGGGGTATATCGGTTCTACACCTCATTGGCTCTGCCCTCCTCTCACGTCTCTGGGCCACTCTGTTGTTTGCCTTTTAGGCCAGTGGAAGATCTTCACTGAAGGAGAAGCCCAGATCAGCCAGATGTGTTCAAGTCGTGTGTGCCGAACGGAGCTTGAAGATTTGGTCAAAGTTTTGTACCTGGAAAGGTCTGAAAAGGGCCACTGTTAGATGAGACAGACAGTATTGGATAGAGTAAAGCAAGAAAACTCAAGCTGCGGCTGGACTGCAGGCTTACTTTGCTTAAATCAACAGTGCCCTAAAACCCCAAACTCAAATGCAGTCAGTTATTCACGCCATGCACAGCATAACTTGCTCCTTTATTGGAGTGGTGTGTCAGCCCTTAAACGTCTCCTCCAAAGAGACTAGAAGAGTCTTGAATTCTCTGTGGTAGGAAGAGGGCTAGAACGCCGCCGCAACCCTGCTCTAGTTTCTGGGAGAATCGCATTTCACATTTCTTTACGGGTTAAAGAGTAAACAAGACCCCCGGGGTTTCTATCTAGAAAGTTATTCCAGTGAAAGAAAGAGAAGGGAATTGCTTAGTAGGAGTTTTTTAGTACAGAGAAAATATTTGTATGAAATTCCGCTCTTCAAATTTTAGAATGTCTTGTGTTTTAAAAAAATTAACTCCCCATCTTCACACACACATGTACACACACACGCACGCACAGTGAACTACAGCCTTCATTCGGAGGCAAGGCCAGTGTAGACTCTCCCCTTCTTTCCCTTGCCTGGCTCTCAAGTAGCTTGGAGGCGGTTGGTACCCAGGAGGATGAATAAGGAATTGTGAACAGAAGCCTGTGCCCTTGGGTCTGTGGTGTGGTTGTTGATGGCACCAACCCTGCGAAAGAGCAGGAACACCATTTCCTGGCTGCCTTCACTTTGAGGTGGGAAAGAACTTTTCCATAATGACACACTTCTCTTTTCTCCCTGAACCAATGGGACCTCCATAAAGAACTTAGAATTGGGTAAACTTTTCAGAAACTGAATCCATGTAAGACAAAATAGTTATTGAAGAGAGGAGTTGATAGAAGTCAGCAAGGCCAGCCGTATGTTTTCAAGTCAACAAAACTCACCAGTTAACAGCTCAATCCTTGCTTATTCTCTTGAAGTCATAGTTCTCTAGTCCACAAATTTCGGTTAGATGACAAAATTCTAGAAGCTTCTTAAGAGGGCGGTTTCCCTTCTTCTCCATTTATGGGAGTTGGTTTTTACTTGGCAAAGGGGTTCTGTCCTCAGGAGCTTCAGTTAGGAGAATTATTGCTTATTTGGGGAAATGGGGATTCTGATAATGATCTAAACCTTCCTCCCATTCTCCTCTCATGCACCAAGCATGGATCTGAATCATGGATCCCAGAGAAGCCTGCTCCGAAAATGTCTCTTTGCAGCCTAATACCAGAGCCCAGATGATCCATTCTGAGGCCTGGCTTTAGAAATCATCTTTGTGGGAAAACTATAAATTCTGCACAGCAGGGATCTCAAGCCTGCCTTCTAGATTTATCTCCTCTGAAGGGGCATGGATGAACTCTAGTGAGTACTTAAATATTAAGGACCGAGAAATCCCATGTTTCTTACTTGGTGACCATAGGTAAGAGGAAAATGTTTTTCCTTATTTGACACCAATAGGGAAAAATGTAAAAGGTCCAGTCTTTATGGCAAGCTGGCATAAAGGAGTCTATTCTCATAAAAGAGACGCAGGGGCCTGGTGGTCAGGCCTTCAGGGGACGAGCCTCTTAGACACATTCTCCTGGGGTGGGGGTTGGGGGGGAGGGAAGGAAGGAGGACATCCAGGGCTGAAAGGCCACAGAGCATTATTGGTGGAGGAGGGGGTTGGGGGCGTGATTAAGTAGCTGCTGCCTCCCTCCCAGAGGTGGCAATATCCCCGTAGTGTGGAAATGAGTCACTGGATCCTGAAGCAAAGCAGTGATTTCCCCTTGCGGATGACTCACCGCAAAGCCTTCCCACCCAGGTGTTCTCTGAAAGCTCAACCTTAAGGGAACACCCAGGGAGCTTCCCTAGATAGACTCCTTCCCCCAGGCCCTGGGACACACCTTTGCCAAGCTCTGTGTGAAGCAGGAGCTGGGGCGCTGTGTGAGGCCAACGTAGAATCCCTCCAGTGTTCAGTGTTGCGTACAGAGTAGGACCGAGAGAGAAGAGGCCAAGCCGCCTGCAGTTAGTAGAGAGGAATGGATGTGGTTCTTCTTGTGTATTTATTTATACCATAAACACTTGGAACAACAAAGCCCATAAGCACCATTTAGCAGTTATAGCCATTTTCTAGTTAACTCATGTAAACAAGTAAGAGTAACATACCAGTATTACCCTTTCACTCTTCTCACAGGACATGTACCTAAATATGGTACTTATTTATGTAGTCACTGTATTTCTGGATTTTTAAATTAATAAAAAACTTAATTTGGAAAAATCCTGTCCCGGAGTGTTGTGTGAGTGATTGAGTCTGGGCAGTACTGACCTTGGACTGAGTAACAGGTGAGGGGCAGGCCCAGCTTTTGCACACTCAGCTTGACGCCCCTCTCACACTACCACCTTGTGGTTAGGAGTGAGAACTTTGCAGTCAGCCGACCCTGGTTTTTAATCCCAGCTCTGCACTTAGCAGCTGTGTCAGTCTTCCCAACTGTAAAATGGGGATAATAGTAGCACTGTCGCCCTTTGCCTTCAGTCTTGCAGTGAGATTTAATTTGGTCAGTTCATGTGAGGTGATTAGGCCAGTGTCTTGTGTGTAGTGAGCATTCATTCATGACCGTGGATGTTCAAACATGGCATGGCACTGAAAACAGCCATTGATTTATGGCTTCTATTTAGGTTAAGACTTTAAGAGCTTGGGGACAGAAGGCCATTGACTTGGGCTTCAAGAGGGCCTCGCTTTGGGTCGCTGCTCAGTGGCAACTTTGCATAGGGAGCAGGGTAGAAGTGTTGTCGCATATGTTGATCCAAACTAAAGTCCCTCAAACCCCTAACACCAGCTAAATCTCCGCTATCACAGAAGCCAAGATATAAGAGAGCTGCAGTGTCAAACAATGTAAGGACAGAAAAGGACGCATTGGTGTTAGCAACACAGAAGTCATTGGTGGTGAAATATTGGAGAAGTGAGAGGAGCAGAGGCCAGAAATGAGTGGGGAGATGAGGAATTGGAGACAGCAGCTCAAGGTCACAATTTAGAGATGCTCAATTACGGAGAGTGGACAGAAAAGGTGAAGGAAGTAACTGGAGAGGGATATGAGGTCAAAGGAAAGTTTTTGTCTTAAGTATGGGAGATATTTGGCCACGTGTGAACACTGCAGGGAGGGGTCCTATAGAGAGGAACAGGTGGAAGGTGATGGGAAAGGAGGGTGAGCCTGCTGTGTGGGTTACATGAGAAACCACGCCCCCACGAGGAGCCCTCGAAACTCAATTCCTGACCCACAGCCTGGACAGCTTTTTAGGCTTCGGTTGCCATCCCCTTACTGTGAATTAGCTACACCTCGTTCCCGTCATCTCTGTTGGCTTGGTCTCTCTTTATACCTGACATACTTGCTTCTGGGATGATGGGCTGTAAATCCCAATATTGCTCCACCTCCGTTGGGGGAACCCCACGTAAACCAGACGCCTTGGCTCCATCTGGCAGGCTTCCCTTTTCCTGATCGCCCACATCCAAATTTCAGCAAGTCCTATCAATTTGGTCTCCTAAATGTAGCCCATGTTTCTTGCTTTTTGCTCTTATCTTCCTGTCGCAGGGTCTTTTCCTCCCTATGTAGTCTTTACCCACCCCTGCAAGGAATTCCCAGAAAGCCCTCAAGATCATCTCATAAGGGCACAAAGACAAGTCCTGCCTGCGACCACATTACCCACCCTTTTAGTACGTTCTTGCTTTGGTCACCCCCTGTGAGAGGTACTGCTGGAAAAAATGGCCATCCGCTGCCTCCATCAGAACATGTCTCGTGACGGTCACCACAGCCGCCAGCTGTGATATTGCCCGAGGGTGCTCCTTCTGCTGGCCTAGAAGTGCCACCACATTGGTGCTGCTCTGGAGCCCTCAGTGTTCCACAGTGGCACCGTATCCCGTGCACAAGTGGAGAGAAGGCCCTCCTCCCTCCCCCTGCGATGTTAAACTTTGCCACCTTACATTAAACAGTTAACACGTAGTTGATGAGTACATATTATATGGACCAAAGCACAGTCTTCTTGTGCTTCAGAGTCTCCTGGAGTTTCTCAAGGAAACAAGCCTTTAACGAGCCCTTTAGGTTCCACTTTCAGCTCTTCTCAGGGCTCAGTTGCCAATATGGAGAGGTTCCGCTGAACACAGGCACCCTCATTTTATTGTGCTTTGCAGCTATTGCGTATTTTATAAATTAAAGGTTTGTGGCCACCCTGCCTCAAGCATGTCTCTCAGTGCCACTTTTCCAACAGCGTTTGCTCATGCCTTGTCTCCGTGTCACATTTTGGTAATTCTCACGATATTTCAAGCTTTTTCATTATTATTCTATTTGTGATGGTGATCTGTGATCAGTGATCTTTGATGTTACTATGGTAAAGAGATTACAACTCACCAAAGGCTCAGAGGGTCGTTAGCATTTTTTAGCAATAAAGTCTTTTTAAATTAAGGTATGCACATTGTTTTCTTTTTTAGACATAATGGTGTTGCACACTTAATAGAGTACAGTATAGTGTAAACATAACTTTCATATGAACTAGGGAAGCAAAAAATTTGTGTAATATGCTTTATTGCCATATTTGCTTTATTGCAGTGGTCTGGAACTGAACCTGCAATATCTCTGAGGTCTGCACGTATAAGCCTGTAAGACAGATGTGAGTCTGTTCCCCTCATCCCTCTTTCCTTCAGTGCACGTGTACTGCTTTTATTCCCCAATGAATCTCTCGTGCAAATTCACTTCAGGGGGCCCAACCCCACCAGTCTGCCAAACAAGTTCAGATACCTCTGAAACCTCCAAGCAGAAGAGAGAAGTCTTTGAATGCAGAGCCCCAGCTGCGGTATGAAGTCTCCCAAATATTTCATACACATTTACAAGTTTGTGCCTTTGTGTATGTTTTCCCACCACTAGTATGTTCTTCCCTCTGCTTTGCCTGGCAAACTCCTACTCATCCTTCAAGACCCAGTCCAAATGTCACCTCCTCTCTGGAGCCTTGCCTGCACCTCCCCAGAGTTTGCTACCATTTTCCATTTCTCCCTATGTACTCTATCCTCCAACATGCCAAATCCATTCTCCAGGTACGTACTGTGTCCTTAGTACTTCTCTGCCTTGGCACACAGCTCCATTTGCCTGGAACATTCATCCTCTGATGTCTCTCCTTCACGAACACATACTCATTTTTTAAAACTCACGTTGCTCATCTCAGACTGCCCACCTCTTTCAGGCACAGTTCGTTCTTCTCCTAGGAAATAACAACCAAAACACTTACCCTGTGCCAGCCACTGTAGTCATCGATTGACATGTATGTTTTCCGAGTTAAT